TGTAAGATCCCACATCGACCAACGGAGAGGGGGTGATGTGCCTTATATGTACACACCCGCATCCATCTAGCACGAGGCCTTTTGGGAGCTCACTAGCTTCGGAGTCATAGGAACTCCGAAGTTAAGCGAGTTGGGGGCCAGAGCAATCACATGATGGGTGACCCACTGGGAAGTTGGTCGTGAGCTCCCATAAACAAAACCGTGAGGGCCAGAGAGGGGGGGCCCAAAGCGGACAATATCGTGCTACGGCGGAGCCGATCCAGGATGTGACAGTCGAGGTCTGGTTTTTCATCTTTAGGAACTGAGCCATCTGAGCACTCAATTCGGCTAAGGTCGAGTGAGAAGGAGAGGTGGTGTCGATGGTGCTACCTCCGTGAAGAATGAAAAATCATCCTTCCCCATGGTGGCAGCGAGGTTTTGAAACTAGAGTCAACAATCCCAAAATTGATACTCTGATACCATGCTAAAATATGAGAAACTATGAGAGTATTTGTTTGTGAAATTTTTTTATATCTTACTCTCCTTGTAGAAGGTCAAATTTATAATACAACGAAGCCTTAGTGGCCAAATAAAATAATAAATTCCTATTTCTATTTACAGTAGGAAATCAAGAATTAAAGTAAATCAATTATAATTAATATGGGAATCTTTGGTGTACAAGGAAAGTCAATGGTCCACAAATCACGCCAATAATTAATAGAATATAAAATACCTCTTTTGGTTGGCACTCCCTCTAACGGTTAAAGGGAGTGCCAATGACGGGGTAATGAGCAAGCCTACATTAGGCGTGTAAAATTGCCCTACCCTAAGAGGTGTGAGTCCAAGCCCTTCCTAGTTACGGGCTTTTTCAGCCCTAAGGAGTGAATGAGTCGGGTCAAGCCCTGCCCTATATTAAATATACCAAGCCCAACCCCTACCTAAGGGCCACACAATTTTGGGCTTATAGGTTGGGCCTATATGGGCCATGACGTTTTTGGCTTTATTTTCACAATCCCAATATTTTAAAAGCCCAATAAAATTAAATCATTAATTAATAAACACAATAATATTATTCAATCTATCATTTATATAGTATTAATGTATAGACAAATACTTGTGGGTTAGGGGCAATGGAAACCAACCATGACAATGGCACTAGACTCTACATTCTCCTTAAGCTCACATCTATAGCACTCCACTTTTGACTTATCAAAGTGATATGCTCCTTTTTCTTCAGAGTCATCATCTCTTTTGAAACCATGAGATGACTTGCTATCATCTCTATGTCCAGACCGTCCACCACCTCGATGACCACGACCACCTCTTCCTCTACCACGTCCACCTCTTCCATGACCTCTTCCTCCTCTAGAACTTGAGGGCTCAGAAAAAGTGGAAGCTTTTAGAGCTGTTTGTTCTTCACTGGCAGTGGTGCGGTTAAGTCTTTGTTCATGCACTAACAAAGAGCTTTGTAGTTCATCAACTCGTAACTCAGCAACATTCTTTGCCTCCTCAATTGAACAGACAATGTAGTCAAATTTTGGAGTCAATGATCTCATAATCTTCTCCACAACTTTGACTTCTTCCATGGTGCCACCATTGGATCTCATCTTGCTTGCTATTCCCAGGGTTCTAGCAAAGAAATCAGTGATGGACTCTCCTGATTTCATTTGTAGATTTTCAAAATCCCTTGTTAGAGTTTGAAGCACTGCACGCTTCACCCTATCTGACCCTTCATATTTCTTCTTCAAAGAATCCCATATTTGTTTGGAGGTCTCCTTCTCGAGTATAGTCTCCAGGATGGATCGATCAAGTGCCTGAAAAAGGTAATTTTTCACCTTCAAGTCCTTCAGCTTCTGTTCAGCAACCCTCTTTTGTTGTTGTTCAGTCAACACAACTCCCTCTGCTGGGGCGTCAATTCCTGATTCCACAAGATTCCAGTACTCCTTTGACCTGAGAAAATTCTCCATCAGCATGCTCCAATGGTCGTAATGACCATCAAATCGTGGAATCGCTGGTTGAACATAACTCTCAGTGGCTTTGTCAGTTGCCATTGTTTCTTGCTGCTGCAAGACACAATCGTTCACTTTTTTCAAGTTTGTTCAGACCCAGAAGGGGCTCTGATACCAAATGTTAAAAACTGAAATTAACTTAAACGTAAAGGATGCTTGAACAGAGTATTTCGCAGTGTAGAAGATACTGCAGTTTTCCTCTCTTATATATATGAAAAACAAAGCTTACTATTCCTACCAATTAAACTGAAACTAAGTTTACATTGAGAAACTTTAACGGATGAAATTGATTTGAATTTGTAATTGAGAATAACTAAAATTAAAGAAAGCAATTAAAATTAAAGACATAGTTGCAGAACACAAGGGATTTAGGAAAACCAAGAGAGAAAGACACTAGAGCATCCGATTTCACCTTAACCAATTCTAATCCCTTAGCAAATCAATTCCAAGCAATTCCCCTTATTGATGATCAATTTCCCTAAATTATTCAATGGCCATGGCATCTGGTTACATCAAAAGTATCTTTATATGCAATTCTCTGTGGCATCTAGAGAATTCGACACATAAAGACCCATTAAGCTCTATGGAAATTATGTAGCAATCACACAAACCCTAACTGCATGGCATCTACAATTAGTCATTCATGGTATCAATTGCAAGAAGCAGAACTCAAGTTAAGTATGGCAATCTACTCTAACTTGTATCACACTAATTCAACTTAGATGATGATAAGACATCCAAACCAAATTAAACATTAAGCACAACAAAAGTTACTCAATAAAAAGGGAAAAACTTGAAATTAATATTAACTAAGAAATTGAGTATTCATGATTAGGCTACATCATAGCCCTAGCTAAAAAAATTAGTTTCTCATAATCATAATTGAAATCACAATGAAAAATAGCCTGAGTTTAGAAAAACCCTAGTTAGAGCTTCCTTTCTCTTGCCTTGTCTTCTCTGTCTCCTTGATATTCTTCACGTTGATCTCCCCTACAACAATAAGGAACGATATAAAAATCATATATAAAAATCAATCAAACAAAAAAAAAAGGTAAGTCTTCCCACATCAGCCCGCCACTTGCATTTGGATTCCAAGCCCAGCTTCCTTCTCCTTAGTTTGGGCTGCCATCCATCAACAAATTTGCATAAGCCCATTGAGATGATTTCCACCAGAATTTCTCTATACACCAAAAACTGCACTTCTTCTTTATTTTCCATGTATTTCCAAAATTAAACACCTATAAATGAAAACAATTAAATTTAGTACAATTAACCAATCCAATTATACAAAATCTAAGATAAATATTTATTAAAAAGCTATATAAATATAAGTACACCAAGATGCTTGAAAATCAACTACCACTTTTCATTCTGAAGGATCTCTACCATGCAAAAAAAAATTTTCATTCTACTGATAAGCCTTCAGTAATTTTCCTCTCGTACCTTTTGGTCAAGCACAAAATCTATGACGAGGAGACAAAAGAAGAACTCGAGGAAATTCTGGACACATACCCACCTACTTTTAAATTTTTATTTATAACCCAAATTTAAAATAGGTTGTCATGTAAGACGGATTTTTCCTAGTATTATTAACTAAATTACAATATATGCCATTTACATTCATATTTATTTTCAATCATATCATTAGCTGCCTTAATCATAATTAATTCTCCCTATTAATAGCATATCAAATACCTCATTTCTTTTGGTTGGCACTCCCTCTTAATATTCTTCTTCCTTTGTTTTTGGCCCAATACATTCTCCTTGTTTTCATTTTAAGTTTATTCTTTACTAAAAAAATTACACAAAGAGATTCTCCTTACTATATGTTAAAATCCTTGTATGCCTCGATTCATGAAGTGTTTTGTTTTCATTTTCTTTTTCACTTACTTAGTTGGATTAAGAAAATTATTTAGGTAATCCTTTCCTCGGATTTGAATATACAAAATAATAATTGTAAAGGGACAAATGTTATCAGTAAATATTGTAAACATTACAGAATGACAGATGCCCAATAAGAGCATCCACAATCATGCTCCCTATTTCTTAGCTAAAATTTAGCTAAAAACACAACCAAAAAAAAAAAAACTATTTTAGTAGCTCCCTAATTTGGAGAGTCATAAATGCTTTACTTCTTTTTGTCATAAATACTTTATTTCTTTTTAAATTTTGCTGATTGAGTTTGCAACTCTTCTTTTATAGATTGATTGGCCATGCCATCCAGTGAATGTTGATTATCATTGGCATCATTCGAATCAGTGGCGGAGGTATTTGAAGGCCTGAAAGGGCCTGGGCCCCCCAAAAGTTTTATAATATTTTATGTTTGGTCTTCTATTCCTACAGATTTTAGGAATTATATATTATAATTTTGCTTGTGGCCCCTCAAGATGTGTTTCTCTTTCCAAATTAAGCATATATAATTCACCACTTGAATGAAGGTTTTGAATCCACACGCCAGCTTTAGTTTTTTAAATGTCCCATCAATATATTAATAAAAAAATAAAAGCAGCCAATCAAATAAAGTTTCACAGAATTTCCTTTATCAAATAGGAAGTAGACTTTTACCCAGATAAAAAACGATTGGGATTTTAATTTTTGTTCCTATATGAAGCAACATGAACTTAGTTCGAAGCAGCCACACACAACAAAAGAAAATAATTGAATTTGGTTGTTTGCTCTCCAACCTCCTGCGTCAAAATTTTTAATTCCAGGTTAGATAACTTTACATAGTCATAGTTTTTTTCCTTTGTTTATTTGCTTTTTATGAGAATATATTTGTATATGTTTATATGAGTGAAAATTGAAGTTTTCATTGTTATAGTTATATGTTTCGTATCTTATATGTTCTATGCATAGAATATGATAATTTTTTTTTGGGTATAATTTATGAATCATGTTCTTAATAAAATTTGTTATTGGTTTGTAGATGAAGAAACAATCTAAAATTGATGGATTTTTCAAAAGAAAACATGCTGAAGTTACCTCATTTGTACCTGATTCTAATATTGAGACAGTAGCATCTGAAAATCGTTCTGGATCTCCAAGAATTGAGACTACTGACAATGAAGTTGATATTAGTACTTTAGAGCGCGACCCAGGGCTACGTCCACAAATATGGAATTATCCTGTTAATCAACGTGACGAAATTCGACGAGCTTACATTAACGTGGGTCCATACCAACCTATACTTTCCAAGTATCCAAAATCAGGATCAATAACTCATCAGCGTAGCTTTTAAAGTTCATGGTTCAAACTATTTCCTTCGTGGTTAGAATATTCACCTGTGAAAGATGCAGCTTTTTGTCTACCGTGCTATCTTTTTAACAAACCATCTAGACATATTGGGAAAAATGCTTTCACTCTTGAGGGATTTCAAAGTTGGAAGAAAGTTAGAGATGGAAAAAATTGTTCTTTTCTATATCACGAGGGAAAAGATCCTAACTCCCCTCATAAAATTGCTGAAATATCATGTTTGGATTTGATAAATCAATCCCAGCATATACAGAAAGTCGTTGAGAATTATTCTTCCCAACAAATTGCAAACAATCGACTACGACTTAAGGCAACAATTGAAGCAGTCAGGTGGCTTGCATTCCAAGGATGTGCTTTTAGAGGCCATGATGAAAAAAGGAATTCAATCAATCGTGGAAATTTTCTTCAAATGTTAGAAATATTGGCTGCATATAATGAAAAAGTTGCTGGAGTTATCTTAGTTAAAGCTCCCAAAAATGCCTCTTACACATCACCACATATCCAAAAAGAAATTTTACATGTTTTTTCAACTAAAGTGAAGAAAGCAATCTGCGAAGAAATTGGGGAATCAAAGTTTTGTATAATTGTTGATGAAGCACTTCATGAATCCAAGAGAGATCAAATGTCTATAGTGTTGCGATTTGTTGACAAAGAAGGTCTTATTCAGGAGCGTTTTTTTAGGCTTGTTCATGTGTCAGACACTGAGGCATTAACTCTGAAAAAAGGTATATACTCTATATTGTCTCATAATTCACTAAATATTCAAAATATTAGAGGACAAGGATACGATGGTGCAAGTAACATGCGAGGTGAATGGAATGGGTTACAAGCTTTGATTTTGAATGATTGCTCATATGCTTACTATGTTCATTGTTTAGCACATCGATTACAATTGGCATTAATTGCATCATCAAGAGAAGTTATTCATGTTCACCACTTTTTCACTAAATTGACTTCTATTGTCAATATTGTTGGTGCTTCATGTAAGCGTAATGATGAACTGAAAAATGCTCAAGCTGCTGAAATTGAGCACATGATTGCAATTGATGAGCTTGAGACTGGGAAAGGAATGAACCAAATTGGCACCTTACAACATGCTGGCGATACTCGTTGGGGTTCTCATTTGAAATCAATTACAAGCTTGGTAAATATGTTTAGTGCAACATGCACAGTTCTAATTAATATAATTGATAACGGAACTACTTATTCTCAACGAGGAGATGCTGATGCAGCTTATGAGGCAATGACTTCATATGAATTTGTCTTTATCTTACATCTTATGAAAGAACTTATGGAGATCACTAATGATCTTTGTCAAGCTTTGCAATGTCATGAATCTTGTTTCTTCCACTAAAGCACTCATCCAAGAATTAAGAGATGATGGATGGGATTCTTTGCTTACCAATGTGAATTCTTTTTGTGAAGCACGGAACATAGATATCTTAGATATGAATGCTTGTTATGTTGCAAGACGAGGTCGAGCTCGCCATCAACAAGATGATTTTACGATTAAGCATTATTACATGATAGATATTTTTT